GCCCGGTTTAACCCTTTCCAGGATGAATCTGTTTGTTTTCTTGGCAGTTCATGATACCCTCAATACTCTTCTCCAGCACCACAGCTCAAAGGCATCAATTCTCATTCTATCCTCCCTAGTCATTGTCCAACTTGCTGATGCATAACAAGTTATAGCAAAAACCATGGCCTGTATCAGATGCACCTTAGTCTCCAGAGAGACATCATTGCTCTTCAGGACTTTGGAGAGGTCCCTAACAGCAGACTTTCCCATGGAAATACGTCTTTTAATTTCTTGCCTACTGGTGCCGATGGTGTTGGGCTAGGGTGTTAATCATAGGGTTGCACAGTTCAGTGGGGTAAAAGAAATGCGAAGAATCTTTTGTGAAAAATGATGCATTCAAACTTTGTAAATAAACCAGTATTTAAAAAAAAAAGGAGCAAAGATGCATAGGAGCATTTAATCCAAACAGGTAATATTGTTGTTGTTGTTGTTGTGAACCATTGAGTTGGAACTGACTCACAGCTGAGCCTCCAGAGAGTTTTCATGGGCTAGAAATTGCATGGAGGAGATTGCCCATCTTTCTCCCACAGAGCAGCTGGTGGATTTGAACCAAATGCCTTTGGGTTGACAGCAAACCTTCTTACCATAAGACCACTAGAGCTCCCTAGAGAACTAATAGATCAAACTCTACATGGTGGGTGACCACCCTTACCGACTAAAATATACCACTGTAGAAGGTTCTGGATAGTTTGTTGCTGTTGTTAGGTGCTGTCAAATCAGAACACACTCACAAGCTGTCCTTTCAAGTGGACTTTCAGAAGCTGTAAATTGCATGGGAGTAGATTGTCCATCTTTCTCCCACAGTGGATTCGAACCACACACCTTTGGGTTGGCAGCACACCTTCTTACTAGGCTACCAGAGCTCGCTGGATAGAGTGGATGAGAAACGTGGGACAACATTCCAAAACATGAAAAGCCTGGGTTGATTGGCTGACTAGAGATAGGTGGACCGCTTGCCTCCAGTCATCCTTTCAAGCTGGAGAAAATCTCATCCTTATGCTTAGCAGACATCCCCCTAAAGAAAGAGTCACCCCAAGGAGAGGCCCTCACTGCTTGGCATAAACCACCACGTAAGCTCAAAAGGACAACATTTGCCCAAGGATAAAGCTTAGAAGGCAGAAAGGGGTAGGATGAAAGGATTGGTGAAAATGGGAATCACAGGGAGGAAGTGGGAAGAGTGAGGCTAGATAGTGGGCGTAGCGATCAGGGTGATAAAACGTGTTGAGTGGAAAAGCAACTAGCTTTGTAAAACCATAATAAAAT